ATATGATGCTGTGCTGGGTGCAAGGCCTGCAGTGAGATGAAATTTATTTACTGGCTTTGGTGAATCATATTTTCCTAGGGAGCAGGAGTGTTTCAATTAGTTTCTGATTTCTCACAAAGGAAATTTATCCATGAATTGTTGCCGAATAAGTATGTTTTGGAGGAAAGGAGAATCTAGGGCTTCCTACTCTCCCATATTTTTGATGTCATTCTCTCTGCTTGTTATGTATCTTGGCAACTTAGACAAACTGCCAATGGAGATCCTGCTGAGCACACTGTTTCTGAACCCTAGCTTCTAACTAGAAATTGTGCTGTTAGGTTTCAGTGATAAGATAAAATCTCAAACATTGGAGGAAGCTGCAGCAGCCTAAGGTCAGGCTGTGGAGAGGGTCATCTCAGGACTTTCATCTGAGGATGCTGCATCCATGAGGTGAGAGAGAGAGGATAGAACCATCAAAAGGGAGGAAGTCACAGAGGGAGAGGAAACAAATAAGAGGAAGTGAGACACTAAAAGTGCTGGAGAGGAAGTGAGAAAGGAGAGAAGATAAAAGTTAGGAGAGGAGCAAGGAAGGAAGGGTGGAGAAGAGCCAGCAAGAGGAATAAGGAGCCTCCACCCTTCTCTTCCATTCCCAGTTATTTCTTGCTCCTTTCCTCTGCTCTGTCCCGGCTGGCAGGCACTGCTGCTGGCAGCCCTTTTGTCTTGTTACAGCAATGAAAACGGGGAATAATGACGTTGCACAGGACTTTGCAGGCAAACAAGCTAAAGGGGCTGCATCATTCTCAGCCTCAGGGCAGACAGAGGGTGTGCCCAGCTCATGGGTGGGAGGAACTGCTGGATGGGTCAGAAGCATCCAACATATTCCACCCACCATGTGACCCCTCAGAGGTCATTTATCTTGTAACACTTTTGGGATTCACAGTGAAGTTCTTAGAAAAACTGGGTGTGTCTTTTTATAGAAATGAGGGTGTAAAGGAGTCCACATCCAGCTTCACAGTTAGGCTTGGGGAAATTCAACCACTGAATGTGGGGTTCACTGATGAAAACAAGGTAGATTGATCCTATTGCAGGAAGAAAAGGGACTCTGAGGGAATCGAAGGCTTGAGTAGCCCCCAGAGAATGTTCTGAATAGACAGTGCTTAGCTACAAGGAAGAACTAATGGTTTAAGAGAGAATCCCTTTTGAAAGTCTGCTCCATGCCAGATGGCGTCCAACATTGCTAAGAAGACCCAGAGACCACATTGTGTCCTACACACCAGTCCTGGGCTTCCCTTGGTCCCTCTTCGGAGTTGTATCCTTGTTTGGTGGTCACCTTTATGGTCCTTGGATCATTTTTGCCCACTTTTCTGACCTTCCCCTTATCTCTGCTCCAGGAAAATGAAACAGACTCCTCTTCCGTTTACCCCAAAGCATAAGTAATGCTAAGATCAGGCACTTTACAGGGTCTTCCCTTGAAGCTTGAGTGTGATCTGGGAGATCACAAGGCAGAAGACAACAGCTGCACACTAGTTTTGTACACATTTGTATAATATCTAAGGAAGGATGGACAGATCCTGTGCAACAGGTGGGGTTTAGGTTGCTGGAGAGAAGGATCCAAAGGATACTTGCTTTCAGATCTAAACTTCTTGAATTTTGCACTAAAATTTCCAAAAATGTTTATGTATCTACTTTTCCAACTCACTCAACCTTAAGCAAGCATGAACCCAGGCAATGCTGTTTCTCCAGCCCAGAATCCCTTCCTGGGGCTCTTCTTGCATCCCCAGCTTGCTGCCATCTTGCCACCATGTGGATTCTCCATATCCTGAACTCCCTCCCTGAGTCTCCAGGACCCCAACACTTTGTCAAACCAGCAGGAAGAGAAATAAGCCAACCTTATCAGGCTCCACTTCTTCTTTTAAATCTTGAGACATCTCCTAAGATGTCCTTGACCTCCTGGCTGATGGCCTCTTTTGCCACTATGTGATATACCTCTCCTTGTCTCAAGATCTTTTCTAGAAGAGGATTTAGGCTTTACTTGCATCACTCATAGTCCCATTGGAGAGACAAGTGGTCAAATGGAAGAAAGCGAACTGTCCCTTCTACCTTTATAAAGTGGTTGAGATTGGGAGTGAGTATTATTGATTTGAATTCATCTGCTCACTTCTCATTGACTGAATCTAGTCAGCTATGCGTAGACTTCTTGATGAAGCTCCCTATTTCACAATGTTTGCCCCTTTCCAGTGCTCAGTAGATATTCCCATAATATCCCTGTGTTTTTTTTTCCTGTTCTTAGGGCTCTTGGGGTGACATGGTCAGGCCCCAGACTCTGCTGCCAGATTATCAATGGCTTCTGCATGCTTTGCAATGCAGCCAGCTGTTGCCAGGGCCAGCTGAGCTATTTATACTTAGCCAGTCAGCTGCCCTGGAGCAATGCAGAGTGATCAGTCTGACCCCTTGACTGACTTCTCTGGAAGCTGGTGGTGGAAGGATGCTTGAGAGGAGGTGAGCTTGCAGGCCTGGGGAGGCATGTAGGAACTCAGATCTGTCCGAAGTAGATCTGCTCAGCACCTCACTGAGGTGCCTCCAAAATTGTGTGTGTTCCTTGACCAATACATCCTGAGGCATTGCAAGTATACTAAGGGATTGGGGTGATTGCCAAGCCCTGGGATTGGGGGTACCTTTGGGTTATCCAAATTGGGTAGTAATTTAGGTAAAGACCTGTTGAGGGTAAAACAGTTGGCTCTGTCATCTCGGTGACCTGAGGTTAGATATAAATAGTCCAAACGTGATGCCCACCATCTTTACCATCCCATGCCTGTCCCCACTGCTACCTCTAAGCACCGCCATATCCCCTCTATTGTCATGGAATCCCACTGCCTTTCCCCCATACTTCACGCCTTTACATATGAGATAACACACCTTTGACTTTTTGAGACTGGCTTATTTCATTTGGCATGATGTTCTCCAGTTCCATTCATTTACTGAAAATGCCTTGATCTTTGGACTATTTTCTACCAATGGCAAATTAAATTCAAGGATAAGAAACCTGTAAAATGGAGGGATGTTGAATTTGATCTTGCGGCTACTTTTTTTAAATTAGAGGATGATTATGAGCTGAAAATTCAAACACAGGATCAAAGTTCATCAATTAATGAAAACTAATGACACACCTGTGAGAGTATGTAATAAGGTGACCTGTAGTCATAGTGAGAGAGAAGGTTGGGAAGAGGGAGCCGGACATGATGACCAGAATAGATTACTGTAGTTTTTTCTAGAAATGTCCCCTGAAAAGCTTTTGATTTTGTTTTCCTATACAGACAGGTTCAGAGGTGGGGCTTTTAGATAGTGATAAGAGTTGTAATATCATCAGTTGATTAATCCATTTGCTGGATTAGTAATTTCAAGGGACAGCTGGATGGTAATTGTAGGCAGGTGGGTATGGTTGGAAAAAGGAAGTCCTTGGGAGTATGCCCTTGGGGATTATATCTTGTTCTAATTCCTTTCTCTCTCTCTCTCTCTCTCTCTCTCTCTCTCTCTCTCTCTCTCTCTCTCTCTCTCTCTCTCTCCTCTTCCTGCCATGAGCTGAGCAGCTTTCCTCCACCATGCCCTTTCAACATGATGATTTGCTTCATGCAGGCCCAGAGTAATGGAATAGGCTGACCATGGACTGAACCTGTGAGACCTTGAGCCCCAAATAACCTTTTTCTCTCCTAAGTTGTTTTTGTTAGGTATTTTAGTCACAGCAACCAAAAGCTGAGCAACTTTCTTAATGATACTGGAGTGAGGATGAACCAGTCATCAGAAGATTAGGGAGAAGAGGGTTCTGGAGAGAATTGGAGTCAACAAACACAAAGTCCCAGAAGTAGAAAGAGCTTGAATTATTTGATGAATAGAAAAGATCAATGTTTATATCAGCACAATTCACAATAGCTAAACTGTGGAGCCGACCTAGATGTCCTTCAGTGGATGAATAGATAAAAAGAAACGTGGCATTTATACACAATGGAATATTACTCAGCACTAAAAAAAGAATAAGATTATGGCACCTGCAGGGAAATGGATGGCATTAGAGAAGATTATGCTAAGTGAAGTTAGCCAATCCCCAAAAAACAAATGCCGAATATTTTCTCTGATATAAGGGGGGTGACTCAAAGTGGGGTAGGGAGGGATAGCGTCGGAAGAAGATTACCTCTAGATAGGAAATGGGGATGGGAAGGAAAGGGAGGGAGAAGGGGAAGAGCAAGGATGGTGGAAGGAGACGGTCATCATAATACAAAATACATGTATGAAGATGTGAATTTGGTGTCGACATACATTATAGACAAAGAGAGTTATGATAAATTGTGCTATAAAGGTGTATTAAGAATTGTAATGCAAAAAAAATGAGGTCCTAAAATATATAAACATTTGTGATTCAACAACACATGGATGGTGCTTGGAGACACAGGACTGGAGAGTCACTGAGAGTGTGAACACATAGAAAATTTAAGTGGTTATAGGAGTGAGCCCTGGAGCACTTCTATATTAATTGATGAAAGAATCAAGAAAAAGTCAACCAGAAGACTGAGACAGGGTGGCTAATACTGTAGGAGGAATAAAGGAAACAAAGTGTGGTCTCCAAGTACAGAAAATATATTATCTAGACAGACTAACCCACTTTGTCAAAAATGCCACTTATAAGTCAAATAAAGACCATGTGAAAACAAACAAGAATTAAACTTTATTTTTTTGCATAGCAAAATCCAGATGACCTTGGGTATGATGATGAATTTTTAAATACATACCCAAAGCACAATGAAATAAATGTGAAATTTTGACTTTATTAAATAGAAAAAATTCTATTTAGCAAATAACATTATTAAGAGAATCAAAAGACTGTGAGAGAATATTTACAAAATCACATATTGTATAAAAGATTCATACTCAAAACATATAAAGAATGCCTAAAATACAACCCAATTTAAAAAGTGCAAAAAAATAGACAAAAAAAATCTGAACACCTATCTCATTGAAGAACATACATGGATGATAAACAAGCCTATGAAAGAGATGGTCAATTTAATTTTTTCATTGGGAAATGCAATTTAACACAATGAGATATCACTAAACACCATTTAGAATAGCTAAAATTCAAAAACCTAACAATTCTTATTCATTGCTGTGAGAAAGCAGAATGGTAGAATTACTTTGGAAAACAATTGGACAGTTTTTCAGAAATTTCAGCAGAGTTTTACCACACAATCCAGAAATTATACTTACAGGTATTTACCAACTGAATTGAAAACTTATGACAACATAAAAATCTGTACAAGAATTTCATAACAGCTTTATTCATTATAACTGTAAACTAAAAATAACCAAGATATTCTTTAATAAGTGCATGGATAAAGTATGTTATATCTATGCAACAGATCAGTCAAAAATAACAAAAGAAATTAAATATTAAGCCATGAAAGACACGATTGACTCTTATGTACATATTGATAAATGTAAGAAGCTAGTTCTGAAAAAATTACACACCAAGTCATTCTAACATGACATTATAAAAAGGAAAAAATTATAGTAATAACAAAAAAAAAGTCAGTTGTTTTCCAGGAATTTGGGAGGAGAGAGGATGTATTTACTCAGAGTCATGAAATATGTTACTCCACTTTTCATTCCTGTGACCAAATCGGCTACAAAAAAAAAGGAGAAACAATTTACTTTGGCTCCTGATTTCAGAAGATTGAGTCCATGGTCAGCCAGCTGCATATTACTGTAGGCCTGAGGTAAGGAATAACATCATGGTGGACAGGTATGGTGGGAGACAGATGCTCTGTTCCTCTGTTTGGGAAGGAGAGAGAGAGAGAGGAGAGAGAGAGAGGAGAGAGAGAGAGAGAGAGAGAGAGAGAGAGAGAGAGAGAGATTGATTGAGAGGAAAGGGTCAGGGATATGATGAACCCTTCCAGGATGCTCCCCCATAACGTACTTCCTCCACCAGATCCCTCCTCCCAATAGTCCATTTAGCTATCAATGGATTAATCCACTGATGAAGCCAGAGCCCTTATGATCCAATCATTACCCCAAAGTCCCACCCCCAAACCTTGCTGCACTGGGGACCATGCTTTCAACACACAAGGATTGTGGAGGACAATCCATATCCAGACTGTAACAGGAATATTTTATATGTTAACTGAAATGGTAAATACATAACATTAAGCAGTTGTCAAAACCCAAAGGATTTCACACTTGAAGAGTGAAATCTTAATGTATGCAAATTTTTAAAAAATAGTGATTTAAGAGGTTAAGAGATCCCAGGATACAAATGCAGCCCATGACAAAAGACACTTCACTATCTTTTAAATGGTATAAAACAACTTTGCTAAAACGAGTGGGATAAAAGGTGCTGATCTAAGCAACTTTGGAAGTCAGGAGAATCTAAAGGCAAAAGAAATGTATAAAACAAAATACTGACTAATAAAGTTTTTCCCCGAGGAGGTGCAGGTTAATAATTCTATTATTGTTGTACATATGCAGTGAAACTGATCAAAGTAAAAGGATGAGGAATGCAGGGAGTCAGGTTTCTCACTGTTGGAGTGAGAGTTTACAGACGAGTCAGGGAAGGAGGCTAAGATGATCATGAGATAATGTATTAGAGCTAAAGAAACCATGGATTTGTGTTTAGCTTAATATAGATACACATGTTACATTTAGGAATAGTCTAGGTATGTGCATATACACAGCTTAGTATACACGTGTTTCCCTGTTCTGTCTAGAGGGATGAGGAGCTATGATCCCCAGGAGCAATGAGCACAGATCTTGGTCCTCCCCAGAACTTGGTTTCTGACACCATTCTCCAGTAAGAAGCAATAGGACTTCTTTAAAAACAGGCAGAGTCTAGGACAGGGACAGAAACATCCTATGGCACCTAAAAAAAAAAAAAATTATAGGGCTAGAAAGTATGAAATGCATCCCCCCAACAAAACCCCGCAATAATGAGGATCTGTCAAAATATCACTTTCAAATGATTTATTTTTATTTTATGTGAATTTTACCTCAATAAATTATTTTTAAAGGTCAACACAAAAGATTCTTATGCTGATATAATTGTTTGGTGTCTTGAGTATGGTGTTGGATACCTGGACTTATACTTGAGCTAACATTGTATACAACATGTACACACACACACACACACACACACACACACACAACCTACATGCATATACACACACAAACACGCACAAGTAGAAGTAAAATGGAAAATACAAATAAGACCTGTAGGTTATATCATATCAATGTCCCAAAGATGTTACTTTAAATTGGGTAAAGAGTCAATATTCTCTATATATTGTTTCTTAAGTTGCATGTGAATCTATAATTATCTTAAAATTAAAAATTACATTTAAAAAAATCCCTCTTCCCATCTTTAATGACATCCACCCTAGATGCTGTTGAGAAACTGAGAGAGATGACCTGGTTACCATCTCTCCTGCCTTGAAGACCAAGTGGATCTCATTACTAATAGGGTCTCCAGGAACTGTAAGAAGCCTCCTGTGACTCACCACCTATTATACTGGTGCCTGTTCATTTGATGTGGCCACAATTTTTCTCAAGTTACCTGATTTAATACTTTTTTCTATGCTTGAGGATTAGCCTGGACTCAAGATTTATTTATTTTTTTCAGAGCCAAGTATTTTAATAGAGTTCAATATTACAGCTTAATACTGTCCATCTCAGCCAGAGTGACAACTCACACCATATTCACATTTGAACTGGGAGACATAAAGGAAGAATACAATTTTCTTACATTGTGCCAATTTCTCAACTAGGGAAAAATAAAGTACCAAGGGAATATTAGTTTGTTTTCCATTGATATACAAAATACCTGAGGCTTGGTGTTTTATAAAGAAAAAAAAGATTTGTTTAACACACAGTTTGGGAGGCTGAAAGTCCAAGATCAGGTGGCCCCATTAATTTGGCCTCTGGTGAGGGCCCCATTGGCCATATCACATCATGATGGCATAAGGCACAAGAGGGAGATATAGCACATGCTGAGACAGAAAGTCAGAGAGATTCAGGGGCCATACAACTTTTTTATATCAATTTGCTCTTTCAGGAACTAAACAGTGTCTCACTAGAACCATATCAACTGGGTTCCACTTCTTACATGTTTCACTACCTTGACATTGCCACACTAGGGAACAGGCTTCCAGCACATTAACTATTGAGCTACATGCTCAAACCATAGCAAGCAGCATTCATTTTTAGGCATAAATCTTTTTCTTCAGAGAAGTAAAAATGACTGGTTATTTCTTCTCAGCCTGTCTGCCTCTGCTTTGGAATGAATACAATGCATACCTAAGAGTGGAGGGCTATGTTAACTGCAGAGAGACCCTGCAGAGAGCACTTCCTCTCTCCTGACCTTACTTCTCTCATTTCCACTCTGTGAAAGTTAAATTGGTTCCTTCTGAAAGTCCCTCCCGTTCAAAAGCCCTGTGATTCTTCCTGTCTGTCATTATGAATCCTAGCTTAGTAATTTAACCCCAGTGAGCCCTAGACAATAGTGTATCCAGTTCTATAAAATACTAATGTAAATAACTGAAGCAAATAAAACTAGTAGGCTTTCTGGAATTTTGATAGGGATTGCACTGAATTTATGGAGCAGCTTAAAGAGAACTACTCTGGTACTTTTGAATGTTTTCACCCATGTACAATATACATCTCTGTACATCTTTAGATTTTCAGTTTCCCTGAGCAATGTCTTATAGTTGTCAGGGTACAGGTCTAGCATTTCTTATCATATTTGTCTCAAAGCACTTGATTTCCTATAATTCAAAGATATTTTATTTCAGTTTTGACTGTTCATTGCCAGCCGATAGCCGTGTGATTCAGTTTTGTTCTTGTATCCTACATATTTGCTGAACTCATCCTTTACTTCTTCTTATCTGCCATTTATTTTGTTTGCATGCCTCATTGCCCTACCATGAACTACCTAGGTCTGAGAAGCTTTTCCCCTCTGACTTCTCTCAAAAAGGAATTGGCTCCCCAACTAGAGATTTGGGGCTATCTCCCCTAAGAGCAGAAATGAAGAGTGCCCTTCAAGTCAATGAGAATTTCACCAAGGGCTTTTGCAGGGATGCAAGAGGGACTCTGGCGATCTCTTCCTCTCACAGTCGACTTTTAAGCACTGACTAAGGATGAATGGTACTTACAGCACAGGCCCCTAGACCAGCTCAGGCATATGAAGACATCTGTTGGGGCTCTGAGGTTTAATTCAAAGATAAATATAGGGTCCCTGCAGCCCAGATTATGAGTCTATAACAACCCCTGCAAGGGCTCTTTACTTTAACATTTTATTAGGATAACAATGAGAACTGTGAATTATTAAGCCTGTACATAACATGAAAATTATGCAGAATTTACCCTATGCAATTGCTTTATCCTGGTTTTCCAATCAGGCTCCGTGAATGTTACTCCATACCATATGGCTTTCCTGGCATTTAGGAAGTAGCTCATTTAGAAAACGGACATCTTCTCCATGGCCACCACCTCCAGAAGCCTCCATTGACATCCAAAAAATGCTCTCTCTCATACAAAAGTCAAAGCCTAAGCATTTTCATACTTCAACCCTGGAGCCAGAACATGGAGGCTCATCCTGATGTCCTAGGGCTTCCCCAAGCCTTCTTGAATGCAAACAGATGCAGAACTTTGCTGCTGCCAGTATAGTCTGGATTGCACATTGGCTCAGATCACAGAAGTAGCTCCTGAGGCTGTGAAGGGACATTCTTTCATTCAGGATGTCCTCAGCCCCAGGAGCTCCCTGCCCAAACGTACCTGATGGATGTAGGGTTCACCTGTAGCCTCATTTTAGAACTCCTGCTTTCTTTTCTCCTCACTCAGTCCTCTCCTGAAAGCACTGTACACTGAGGTTAGAGGCAGCAGGCAGTAAGGACAGTCTAACTTACAATAAAAATGTTTGCTTTTCTGTTGAGCTGAACGTCTCCTCTGGCTGCACACAACGAGGAATTATTCTATAATTATTTTGTGCTTAGTATAGATTAATCTACACAGAGATTTCCCATTGCAATGTCTTTTCTTCCTCTATTAAAAGTACATAAAGCTTATTTTCCTCTTTAAATCGACTAGAAAGGTAAAGAATTAACAAGTAAAGCAAGCTATTCAACATAAGGGTCTCAGTGTCTCCATCTTTAAAATGGAATCATTAACTCCAACCTGAGAGGAGGTGGAGTGGTTGCCAGAGTGGCCAGCAGATGGTGTGTGAGTACTCAGAATCTCATTTCTGCTTTTACCTGTGTGGTCTTGCAGAATCCTCACTCAGTATCTCTTCCTCTGGGCCATGCTGATCTCCCTGGCTCTCCATCAATGGTTCAGCAGATGCTTGACTCACAGGAGGAGCTTTGGAACTTTGTGAGACATTGGGGGTTATTATCAGCATGATGGGGAGGGCACTTCTGCAATACACAGAAGGCTTCCAACTCTAATTTGAATATGCTACCAGACATTCACTCACATTGGTGATAGACCTGTTTATGATTTAAACATCATGTCACATAAACACAAAGTGTATTTCCCCAGTTTCATATACAATTCAAACTGCAATAATTGTGAGACTCAGAGGAAGATTGGCTTCTTTACCAAGCATTGCTCTTCTGGGAAAATCCCATTTCAACACCAGTGCCCTTCCACGGGTGTGAATCATCTTCAGCCCAAACCCCCCAGGCACATCTGCACCTGTGATTTCCACGTGACTCCCCTGAATAAATAACTTCTGCATGTATAAGTATAGCTCTGCACTCTTACTCCAAAATATCAAAGAAAAGTCTTCAACAAAATTACTGCCTTCTTTCTCTCCATCCACACTTATTCATTTTAAGTGGATGCAAACATCTGATTACTTCATTATGTTTTTTAATAAAGTCAGACCTGAATGAACATTTACATGTTATGACAAATAGCATTTTACTTTAGATTACTTTCCTTTTGTTTCTCCCTTTTCACTGTATTATGACCAAAGCCTCATTGTCTTTATAAAAAATCATGTGTATAAATAAGTGATGCTACCCCTAAGTGTCTTCTCAATGTAGTAAAGAAAATGTTATAAAATATTTTATACAAAGGGTATTGGTTCTGACAGGGTGGAGAAGCACTGTCCCGTATTACTTAATCCCCCCAATTATTCTGCTCTGGAGAAAATTCCTTTGATAAATGAAGGTTGGTATTAGATATTGATAGGAGATAAACTAACTTAGGGCTGAGGAGATTATGTGAACTAGACACACATTAAATATTTAGCTGCAGTAGAACAGCCGTGCCAGGGTCAGCCTTAGGTCTTGGGTACCTAGTGAGATCACAATTCCGCCCACCAGATGTCAGGTGTCAATTCACAAGCAGAAGCAAGACCTAATTTAGCAAGATTTTTTGGTTTCACTTTACAGCTGAATATTGAATCGGCTTCCAAAAGGGTAAACTATTGTTTGGGTGAATAGAGCAGTTGTCTCAAAGGTCATGCCCCTTCCCTCCTGATCATCTAATTGATGCTCAAGATGGATTGAAATGAGGATCATGAAACAAATGTATGCGGGATTGCACAAATACGGAAGGTCGTCAGGGCAAGAGGGAAGCCTGGCTGAGTTCAGTTAATACCTCTTTCATGGGCACCCACAGCCACTTAAAGCTGTGCAGTCTGAAGAGGCATGACCTAGCTCCTGATAGGAGCCCTCCCCTCCTGTCTGGAACCCTGCTTCTGCAGGTCACAAATCCTGACGCTGCAGGAGAGATGGGAGTTGGACGCACGCACCCAGGTGCAGGACCCTTCATCCATCACAAAAGGAAGCCACCTATTGGATCCTGGACAACCTTCCACTTAAAGCTGGAAGTAGGTCTTAGGTACCTAGTGAGCAAGGGCAGGCTTTAGTCCTCCTTGAGGATCTACAGATTTTGCATTGCTACTGCCACAATACCTGGAAAGAACAACTTAGAGGAGGAAAAGTATGTTTTGGCTCACAGTTTCAGAGGCCTCAGTCTGTGATGGCCCACTCTATTGCTCTGGGCCCAAGATGAAGCAGAATACTGTGGCAGAGGAAAGCAGCTCAGGACATGACAGCCAAGGAGCAGAGAGAAAACTCTGCTCCCCAGGAACAAAATATAAACCCACAAGGCAGGACTCCAGTGACCTACTTCCTGCAGCCACATCCTACCTACTGCAGTCACCACACAGTTAATTCATTCAAGTGGATTAATCCACTGATTAGGTTATACTTCTCATAATCTATTTTAACTCTGAACTTTCTTACATTGTCTCACACCTGAGTTTTTTGCAGGGCAACTATTATGGAAACCATAACAATCAGTTCATTTATTCAGTAGTTATGTTTGGGGGCAACCAGACTTGCCTGGTGCTGGAAATAGATGGTGCACAAAGCAGACATGGCACCTGCTCTCAGAGAGCCACCATCTGGCAGAACGCAGACACTGGGTAAAGGAATAGCCATATAAACAGTGTGCAATTATAATAGGACTTGAGCACTCTTCAGTATGGAATGGGATGGGAGGGGGCATCAAGAAAGGCTTCCTTGGGAAGCAGTGCTTGAGCAAACAGTTAAGTAGAACTTAACTCTGAGAAAAGGAAGGAGCGCAGGGGGAAGAGGATGATCTGGAGATGAGGGTTGAAGCATGTGCCAAGGCCCTCTGGTAGGTAGGACAGCACCAGATCCAGTTGTCTTGCAGACCAGTGCAGAGGAATGAGGAACATGGGGGAAAGTGAGACTGGACAGAAGGGTGCAGCCCATGCAAGTTTTAGAGTCAAGTTAAGAGACTTTATTTTAAGAATGATGGAAAGTCATGCCAATATGTTATACCAGGGAGACTTATTGACAGTCTCACATTTTGGAGCAATCATCCTGGCTGCAGACTAGAGAAAGAAGGATAGGGTCCCACAGCATGGAGTCAGCATCCTTCCCTGTTCTGGAGGATGGAGGATCTGTTAAATTCTGATTAAGCCACTTGCCCTGGATTGGGGAGCAAAGAATCAGGCTCATTAATGCCCTTCAGATGAGTGAGTAAACCCTGAAGGTATTAGCCCTACCTTTCACCTGGACACCGGGAAGGTGTCATGCTAGGCAGAAAGGATTTCTCTGCAGAAAGTGGTGGTTTCAGGCTTTTCTGAAGACCTCCGGGTTATCTGTCTCAACCTGTTGCCTGCCTTGCAGATGTCAAGCTGCATGGGAATAGGCAATGTGGAAACTAGTGTCCAGCCCACATGCTGGCCAAGTCAGAGGACACACCTTCCTGGCCTCTGCAGGTTTGTCCAAGTAGACCCAAGACTGAGACACAGCTAGTGGGAAACTTACACATTCTATAACTTTAAAAATACCCAGGACCAAGAAAAGGGCTGCCATCAGTAATCAGAGCAGAGTGGTCACCCCCACAGGCTGGACAAAGCTGTTCACCACTTACTCACTGTGTGACCTTGGGCAATCTAAATTCTCCAAGCCTCAATGTTCCACATCTAGAAGAGAGAGCATGATAGTACCTACCTCACAACACTGTGTCATGATAAGTCAGAATCCCTAAAAACTACCTGGCACCTTAAACCTACCCCATAAATCTTCCCTGTGTGTTTTTTTGCTACAGTGGATAGCTGGAGATGAATATTATTATCCTAATGGTGCATTTGAAGCTTAGAAAAGTCAATTAATGGGCTGAAGGTCACCAACTTGCTAGAGACATAACCATAGGCAACAAGGGCCCCCATCTTCACTGTCAATCACATCAGCTGCTGCTTAGGCACGGCCAAGAAACCAACCCAGGGCACACACACACAGCATGCTGCAGCTGGGGCAGAGAAGGAGCCTCCTAGCACAAGGTTCCACCAGCCAGGCCACCCTCCTTCCTGGACTTCTAAAATACACACAAGTCCCCATCATTAAAACAGGAAGTGGGACCCTGATCTCCTCCACTCTCACCACACCACAACCAGCTTAGAGTTGTGCCAGGGTCATGTGCCCTCCAGAGCATCGCTTATGTTCTCACTTGGTGACCTCTCTCTGAGTTTCTCCAGGAGAAACCCTGTGCTCATCTGCCTGGTGGCCATGATTTTGCCTCTTAGACCCAAAGGCCATCAGCGATCATCTAGTATGCTTGCCACTCTTGAGAGTCTGTGGGTATTAACACTTTGATCTCATTGTAACTCTGAGAAGAGACTTCATTGTCACGTTGCAGATGGAGAAACTAAGGTCTCCCTTGACTAGAGAGATTAAGTATTTATCCACAGACACACAGCTACTAAGTGGCAGTATTGAATTCCATTCCAGGCAGTCTGCACTTAAAGCTAAGATTATTTTTAATAATGTCAAGTTTATAGAAAAGCTGAAAACATTGTTGCCAAGGACCTCTATAAAATAATTAACATTTTACCAATTTTTGATTATCATTCTCCATCTCTGACAGCTATTTGAATATTTGAAAATGTTACTCACATGTTCCTTTTACCTCCAAATGGTGCAGCATGGAAATCCTAAGAAAAATTACATTTATTTCCACATCCAAATTGCAATTACATGAATCAGGAAATTTAACCTTGATAGAATAATATTATTTACCTCTTTCTTAATGATGTTTTTCTTAGCTACTATTTTTGGGGATGCAAAATGTTTTGTGGGGCTAGAATTGTAGCTCAGCTGTAGAGTACTCGCCTAGGACAGATGGGACTCGGGTTCGATTCTCAGCACCACATAAAAATAAAGGCATTGTGTTGTGTCCATCTACAAAAAAAGATTCATTCATATTCTCTCTCTCTCTTTCTCTCTCTCTCCTTAAAAAATGTTTTGTGCCTCCTTTAATATGGGTTAGTTTTTTGGCCTTTTTTTATTGCATTGAAATTTTAAGAGTGCAGAGCTTTGTCTTTTTATTTTTTTTCAGAATTTCTCAATTTCTTCGATGTTTTCTCACAACTAGGTTTAGATTGTGCCTTTTGGATTGGAATACCCAGAAGTGATATGTTCTCCAAACATTATTTCAGGAGGCTCATGATGTTAATTTGTTCCATTTCTACTGATATAAACTTTGATCACATGGCTCTGTTTTCTCCACAATACAGTTACTTTTCCTCCCTCTGTAATTAACAAATCTGTGGAGAGATACTTTGAAAGGATGTAAATCGTCTGTTGTCATCAAACTTTCAACCACAGCCTTAGCATCGCTTGATGCTTCTGACCTGAATCTAGCGGTGCCCCAGCGGGGTACAAGTAGCTTCCAGCTCTGTCATTACTTCTGTGTTTATTAGTGGGTGTTCTCTTCCTCCTTATTTACTAACAGTAGGGCTCATGGATCCTTAATTTTTTCATCTGTTATCATCTATCACTATTATTTATTTATTTTGTTACTGGGGATTGAATTCAGGGGC